GTAACGTCTCCCCAGTCATTCGAGTAGTTTCCAAGGACTTTCTAGAGTTAGTAATGGAGCTGTAATTTACGCACTCGAAAGCATTATTTATTTGGGTGGTATAATATTGAATTCTATGGGATCTCGCAAAGAAAATAGCCAGCGACTTATCTTATTGCGAATAAAATTCGTACGACTTTATGTAGAGAGGGATTTCTTTCGTTTATCTTTTTTTAGATTAGGGGAGAGGAGAAGGAGCAGGACGAGGACGAGGAGGAGGAGGAGATGGAGAATTTGAAAGACAACCGCAACGTATAAATGTAGCATAATCTGTACATTTATAGGCACACTAGACACGTATTATATGTTATATTTATTTCATGATTATTACGGAATGCCTGTGATCTATAGTGTGCGCACGGTCCTCTAAAGATCGACAGGATTCACGCGATCTTCCGCATGTAATGCAATTCTAAAAGTACATTATTACGCATAGATAACCAATGATTTTAGCTTGTCAAGTACTGTTAAGCAATAGATGTTTACGAGTCGCTGGAGTTTCGTAAATAGTCGTAAGCAGAGTGCTTCATTTAAACAATGACAATGGCGAACCAATTGAATATTGTATTTTGTCTAGTTTCTTGCGCCATCCCACGTCATTAAAAATAATTCCAAAGCACATCATAGCCGCTGTACTTGTCAAACAAATAAATTGCTATTAATTGGGTAAGCGGCTCATCGGCTCTTGAGATCGAAGACCAAACCAATATAATTTAATTCTAACGGACAGTAATAATTGCATGTACACCAGCTGGATTAAGATTAGCCAGTGGGTAGAGTTTCTATCTTCGTTTAACATTCTCGTACGTAAGGCGGCCTTAAGGCTCTGATGGAAAAGTCCCCGTGCATTTCAAAATAATTTGATTTTCAAAAGTATTATAAAACGAGAAAGTACGATTTCGCAATTCAGCGGCAAAAGCAATTAAAATGTGATGTCTCTTTATAAGCTCGAGGATACGCGCGGCGCCACATCTCGGAATAATTACGTATGTCGCAAAGACTCGATTTCACGTGGAAACGTGGCAAATTTCGCGGGCCTATTAAACGATTGCGCGGTGCAAATTTTCTCGCCTTCCGACGCCGAGCGCGTAATAACATTTCCCATAATTTTTGGCCAACGACTCGGCTTTCGACGCAACTTGCTCATGCTTTCGATTCCCAATGAAGCTTTTCGCTCATAAGAGGAGACGCTCGCGAGGTCAGAGCAGCACGTCGACGGCCCGAGAGAGATAGATAGATAGATGATGCATGTTGTGCCTCGCGCAAACACGAGACGCAATATTGAGACAAAAGGGAAGATTGAAAGGAGCGCGAGCTGGATTTTAATTTGAAATAGTGGGACGATAGTGTAACGGGGGGGGGGGGGAGCAGAAACGGGGTGATTATGGAGGGGGGCGGGGGGGGAGGGGGACGGGGAGAGGATCACGGGCTCGTCGGGATAATTACACAAATCGCTCGCAGCCGTGTGTGGCGAGTCCCGTGCGCGCGTTCACAGTTGCGAGCAGTTGGCTGCGAGATTTCGCGCAATTCCAATAAGTGCGGGGCCTATAATCATCGCTTGTCCCGTCGGACGAAAGAGGGGGCCCGATCGGTGCCGACTAATCCGTCAACAAGGGACCTTCCCAGCTACCTTCTCGCGCCCCGGCATCCTTTAATAACAGGCCCACTCCACCCCAACGGCCCTCTCGAGGTGCCAAAAAATCTCGCGTCACGCTCCTGCCGAGGACGAGGTTCGGGGCCTGGGCGCGTTGCCGCCCAGGCCCACCAATAAAACGATACCTCGGACGGCCATTAGTCCTTTAATTCGTTGCTGAAACTTCCCTCTTCGCTCGTCCGTCGTCCCTTGTCGACTTTCAAAACTTCTCCAAGGGCTCTCGTGCACTCAGCGCCGAGTTTTAACTACAGGAGTCGCGAAAGAGCGAATTATTGCACGAAGCGTGAAAAATAATCAAGTATCTCGGATAATACACCGCTTACATAATTTATCTCGTAATACGCTGGTATCTATCCTAACCAGGTCTACGCGGTCGTCCCTGTAGTTTTCAATACCCCGTTAATTTCCAACTGGAATACTCAATTTGCTAGCGCTTTTGTATTTTCAGCGGCATCGAGCCAAAATCTCATTCTGAAATTTCGTCCTGCTCGTGTAATTGAATTTTAGCAGTTTAAACGGGACTTTTGTTAACATTTTTCATTTGTTCAATAACGTTTACGCCTCCCAGCCGACTAACTTTTTCAATTATTTAAAATTATTACTTTATTATTCAGCATGTAAATGCCAATTCAATGTTATTAAGGGCGCACGGCTATTTGAAAAGCGTTAAAAGACAAATAGTTACGCTCGAAAAATATTAGCCAATATTATTCCAGACTCTTCGTGGGCTGTGGTGGAGCTTCAAAGAGCCGTAAACTATTATGTAACCTTAGCCCCAGAAAGTAATGTAATGAGAAATAATATTGAAAAGTTTTATTTCGCCTCATCCCTTTTAACCTCGATGTACGTTTTATCCGCAAAATCCCCACCCCCGCCCCGCCCACTCCCACCACCCCTCCACATTCCTTCCACATTCCCTCCACATCCCCTTCCCTCAAACCCACGCCCCACCACCCATCCGTCCGACAACGAATATACGAGTACCTTTACCGATGAGTCGCAGGATCTCGATAATGAACGTCGCCCAGCAGCATCGGTATCTGGCATTATTGCTATTTACGGACTTTTCCATCGCGCACACCGGCCGGCAACCGAATCGCAGAACGAAATCGACGACATTGGCCATGCGAGCTACGATTCTCATAGCCGAGGCCATTAATTAATGGGTGGCGCGCGTTGCATGGTGGAAATTGCGGGACGGAGGCCCAAACTCCCAAGCTCCGGGCGAACCGCCTAATTTCTACATTTTTATGGAAGTCATCTCGGCGTCTCGTCCCCAACAACGCTCACCCCGTGCACGCATACCGACGCACACGTATAATAGATCTCCTGCGCTCGGTGGCTCATCAGCAAATCGGGACGGGGCCGGCAACTAGCTCCGGGGGCGGCAAAAACGCGAAAAGGACGAAATAAAGGGGAAAACGCTCGGCGAGGCTGGATGAACTTGGCCGCGGAGCCGCGGGGCCGATTCTCACGCACGGTCACTCATCCCCTCCACCAAATGCCACGGCGTATAATCGTCTTTTTAAGGGTCCTCTTTCTCGGCTTAGAGGGCGACCCGCGCTCGTCGACTACCGCCTAGATGTGCCCGGGAGTGGGTAATCGGGCCCTCGCGCATCAGTCACAGACGTATATTTTGACGACTGGAAATGGACGGCTATCGACGACTCGGTCGGCCCCGGGGCTCCGCCGATGCTCGCGTTGCATGTTCAAGCCAGTCGAATTCCTGTATTCCCTATTCCCTCGGCTATCCCTCGACTATCCCTCCACTGCCTCACACCCCCCCCCCCCCCACTACCGCAAAACCCTCACCGCACCACCCTCCCACCACCCAAGCCAAATCCCCTAATCGGGCCTCACTAAGTGCGCGTGTGTGCATGCACGCGTGTGTGTATCTCAGCAGTGAATTAGTTCCTCCAGAGATTGAGATTGGCGACGAGCGACGAGCGACGAGGACGAGCCGCTTTTGCTTTAGCCGGACCCCAATGTTATTGAGTAAGTGCGCAGGGTCGCGGAGACGTGCCGTTTGCCATTTCCTTGGATACGCCGGGAGCATTTAACCAGTCGATACACGGTCGATTCCGCGCAACGGGTCCCGACTCCCGGACCCCGATTCTCGCCTCCCGTCCCCCGTCCGCGCTCATCTGGTCACCCGCCTATCGGCCAGCCGGTCCCATCATATACTTAATAATGAAAGTCAATTAAACCGTGTCACGACCTCGATAGACCAATCTCGGTCCTTCGACCTACCCCCCTCCCTGACGCTACAATCGCCCGCTACTTCACCGCCCACCGCCAGTCCAGCCAACGTCGCTATTAGGTGCGCTATCGCGCGAGAGTGACCGTTGCGCGCATGTATATGCATGAGCGAGATGCCCGGCCTCGTGGACCGGAGGACGGCGGTTGGGGAAGGTGGGTGGCGGACACACGCGCGCTTCGGCTTAATAACCTAGAGCACGGACGGCGCGCGCTCGTTTCTCCGAATCCGCCCTGGCGTTTCGGAATTTCGTCGCTAATAAGGATCCGTACACGCGTACGTGCTGCCGCTACCGCGGCCCCTCGCAATCCGAATTCGTCTCTCGCTTTTTACGGCTTTTACCTCGTTTTTGCCGCTCCGAAGTCCCGCGCGCCCCTCGTCCACAGCCTACCGTTGCACTCATCGCCCGTCGGTTCTTGCGGGGCAGTTCCCGAAATTACTATTGCCGGGGCGGTGCGCTGGCAAATGACGGGCCCAAACGTAACCTCCTCTCAAAAATTACAAGCTTTTGTCCTTCTGGCCAATTATTGCATTAGGCGAGCTTCTCCGTCCATTAAACGGGGCCTCGAACCCTCGGCGTTCCGATGTTTACACTCGCTCGCTGCGACTTTAAAAATTCGTTCGATGCATGCCCGACGTCCATTGCCACGAACAACATTTTCCGTTCGGACTCCTCTCATCTGCCACTCAAACGGCTGAAATTTTGCTTCCGATCCCTGGCTCTGTCTCTCCCTCCCTCTCTCGCTCCCTCATCTATTATTATCATCGATGAAAATGAAGACTTGGCCGGTCGGCCGACTAACTACCAGCGGAGAAGCTCAATTATCACATCTGGAGTTTTACACGATCTCTTTACACTTGTTTTAGCCTTTAAGGTCGCGCGCATTTATCGTGCGAAGGGTCCTTATATATTGTGAAGCCGAGGCATAGGAAGGATCCATGGGAATACAAAACGCATTATCAGTGATGGCTAGGGAATATAATGGGGGAGCTAATGCAACGATAGTCCGCCGATTAGTAAATGTAACTAATTGCATCGTTGACGCTGCTGGTGTTAGCGGCTCGTATTTCCGGGCGATCGGAGCGTATTTCGCCGGGCTGACACTTCGTCCCGGTTAAACGGGAAATTGCGCGAATTACGCCAACGATCGATTATCACTTAAGAGCCGTGAATAATAATTTGATTGGTCGGATTAATTTGAATGCCGCGTCAGAATGCTGGCCTTTAGCGCACTTAATCGCCGGCGATGCACGAGAGTCGTGCAATTCATAAATAAACGAGCAGAATTTTTAGAAAAATTAGCGATCGAGGCAAAAGAGATAAGTTTCTAAATTGCGATT